AAAGGATAAAGGATAAAGCATTTGCCGTTGATCAATCCCTTTTTGGGATGCGGCACGCATTCTACTTCCATTTGTACATTCGTAGTGGCGTTTGAATGCGATGTGGCCTATACAATGACTTGCGGGGGCCAGCCGATGTACAAGTCAGTGTTTTTATCCTCCCAGACAAGTCTGGTACCAATTAACCGACCCCGGAGGGATGGAAGGCTTGGTTGGCCCGGGCGACTCACGACCCAGGATTTGATCCCCGGACCGCTCGCGTGGTAAGCGCCACTTGCCACTACACCACTTCCGCCCTCATTTAAAGAGGTAAATCTTACCTCTTCAAAACCAGATCAGAATCACTGCGATGCTTGATGCATGGCGCGTCCATGGATGATCGCTCGAAAATAATCAATTAGTTGATCCCCTTTCACGAATCACCAGAGCACAGTCGATGAGAGAACGGCTCAGTTAAAAGTCCGAGGGAGTAAGGTGAGAGCCTCAGGAGTAAGCCTTGGAGGTGGGAAGGAAAGTGAGGAGGTGAGCAATTTACAGAAGATGAGCCATATAGCAAAAGTTTGAATGTGTGAGTGGTCATGAGCAGCTGATTAGGCGAGAGAGCACAGGTGGGAGCACCACATGGAATGATCAAAGGATTGAGTTTGTGTAGTATATAGAGTGACTCTCCTCCCCAATCGGGGTTCCATCTAGGACCGATCCTAGCCTACCTTTACTCCATCTTGGGGGAAGCTGGCTCCGGGGTGCATAAGAATTCCACACGTCGTTGACGGATAGGGTCGAGATAGGAGCCGAGATAGAGAATGGTTGAACGAACAAAACTTCCCCCAAAAACGTCAATAAAAAGATCCACGATCCTTCCAAATATTCTTTAAAATTTCTGCTAGGGGGAAGGGAGAGGAAATCGCAACTATCATTGAAAGATGTTTCACGAGAATGCTGGGTTGTGAACAAAACTTTCGCCCCAAGCGGGACTAGAACCCACCTAGTTAACTAGTTAACAAACAAAAACATATCACTGGAAGAGTTGGCCGTTTCAGAATAATCACGAAAGATCATATAAATAATCAAAACTATAACACATAGTTTAATCAGAAATAATTCTCGAGCTCAACAACACAAGTACGGGTCACAATCAAGTTTACAAAAGTGTAATAATACTCGGATTAGAAATGCAGAACCTTTCTGAGATATTACAAGAAGTACCTACTAATAGTAATTACAGTAGATTATCATATTTTTCAAATATTTGTCAGTAGATTATCATATTTTTCAAATATTTTGTACTAAATACATTGGTCGTTCAGCGCCTCATCAATGTCTTCGCTGGATCTGCGTTTGGCCATTTCGGCAACTGCTTCATATATTTTCAGCTGCAGATTACCGAAACACGTTGGGTGGTCTCCAACCCAGGACTTCAGGCCATTCGTCAGGTAACACACGACAAGATCATTCTTGGAATCCATGTAGACACATTGACCTCCTATCGCCGGATGGCCGATTTGCCAGGAATTCTGAAAATGTGATCATTTAGCAGAGAAAAGTTGTTTTTAATTAGGGCAAATGTCCAGACTTTGCTACCAAACGCACGAATCGCGCGATTCGCCAGCGATTAGATTTGCCGCAAAAGCGCATATTGCTGTCAAAGGCAGGGCCCAATGGGCGGGGCCTCCGGGCAGGTGTATAAAAGGGCTCTGCCATGCCAGTCAGGCGGCGTCAGTGTCGGTCGTCGGTCGTCAGTCAGCAGCTAAACGGTCTTCCTAGCCGTCCTCGCAGCAGCCCGCCATCTTCTGTCAAGCCATAGCTCCAAGCGGTGAAACTCCAGTTCGGGGGGGCACTCCATTGCTATCTTATCCGTAGTACTAGAGAGCAGTTCTTTGGGCTATCGAACACTACGGATAAGATAATAAGTGAACGACTCATTTCGAGCGTACTTTTGATAAGGACCGGTGGATGTCCTACATTCCACACTACCTGCCCACATCCCATCCACTTTTCTGCACAGGTGATCCACCCTGGAGCTCCTGCACCCTTAGCCCTTTGCGGAGGTGTCCTTTCTCCTGGTCCAGGACCGTTCCCTTGGGTCATGGCAGGCGGAAATGTGAAAACGTTTCAGGGTTTCTCACCCATTACACCAATATTTATCAGAAGTCTACTTTAAATGAGTCGATTACGTGTCGTGAGCCCTCTAATCCTTATCTTGAGTATTGGAGAAAAAATGGAGTGCCCCCCCCGAACTGGAGTTTCACCTCCAAGCGCCCCCGATGGCCCCGACTAGGATCTTCGAGAGGGGTGCATGTGTGTGGGATGGCTCGCTCAGATGCAAGTATCGATTGGATTGTCAGGGTGTAAACGTAAAAGGAGTGATTTATATTAGTTACATGACACGCCCACATGCAGAACATCATAGCTAACGATTCATCATTCCTAGCAAGAGTAGTACGGCAGTGAGCTAGCGTCGCCACCGATGCATTAGCGATTGATCGCATTGCTGGAATCGCTAGTCGCACCGCTGAATCGCGCGCGTTCGCCGGCCGATTGATCGCCAAGTCTGACATCTATCAAGCATTCAGTGAACCAACCGTTCTACTCTTTGTGTAGATGAATCCATAACCTTTGTTCTCTTCTTCGCCTAATGCGTGGTCAAATTCATTGCAAAACTGTGGCTGGCTGATTCTCTAAAGCAGTCGTTTATTTCAAGCTTGTCCACATTGAGGGACAATTCTCAGGAGGTGCAATTCATTTATTGGTTGGTGGCCAGAATATCAAAGTGCCTCCCCCAGAATTGGAATTCTGAAGCGCTGACGTAAAGTTAGCGTCCAAACTAGCATGGTGGTCCTTATAAGGTCAGCTCTCTTAAGGTCGCATTTATATAATTCTATTGATGAGCCAAACTCATGCTTCATTAGTAGTGGGGACGACGGCCCAAGTAGAAAATTCTTTATCAACCCAAGAAAACCGTTACCATTAAACATATGAACGATGACGTGCCGTATATCGGCTGGTTAAGGCTCAATCCGCGACCAAAACTTTGTAGTACCTCGCTCTAACATGAAGGAAACCACGAAGAAGGACTGCCATTGAGTTTTGCGGAAGGAGCCATAGGAATTATTAAAATTTAGAACTTCTTCATGTGAGGTTCAGCACCAGGACGATGGAAGAGAGACAACGTGGCGTTGAGAGAGAATACACGAGGAGCCCATCGTGGCAGGGGCGCAGACATTGCGCATGAATGCGATGCGAAAGAGTAAAATACGGTAAAGGCGAGGACTTCGACCGGTGTCAGACTTTGTGAATCAACGACTCGTTCGTGGCGGTTACTTCGCGATTCGCTCCTACCAAATGGCTGTGCGATTCACGAAGTCTGACTCTGGCTATCGCCCCTCTCGCACTCAGTGTTTGATCAACAGTACTAGACTAGTGCTCTGGAAGCCCTGCAATACTGCACGGAGAGAATTGCTCCGATGTTCTGGTCGTGGGTTCTGCCTTGAGAACGACTTTGTTATTGTTTACTTATTGCTGGTTCTATTAAAATTAATAGTCGATGATTAAGCGATGGTCTTCACAGCATCAACTCATAATGGTCGCACCCACGTAAAAAGCCAGTCCAAATAATATTGTGAGCTTGTGCCCAAGGTCAAGGAGCAAAAAGAAGAGTAGTTCAACATATAAAAAAAATCAGAGCAATGTTTTGGTTTCTCAATTCGAAGCATGAAACACAGTACCTCGAGAAATCGTATGATACAAGAGTGCCATCCATGAACAATTGAAATGTCCGAGCTAAACCACGAGCCGTCGCCAACCGCTGCGGCCGGTTGTGCAATTAGCGCGCGTACTTTCATGGATTATTAAAGGCAGTCGTACTACCTAAAACAAAATAATTTGGATCGAGGGACGTGACAGCGAGTTACCCTATGGCTAGGAAAGCTACCACACATGGATGGTCAATAAGGTCAAATCCTAGATAGGCACGATTATTGCACTTTTAAGATCAGCTCAGTGTTGAGGCTGTGGGTACGATGATTTGGTCGCTCAAAATGGAGGAGTTGCTGAAGATTGGTCACGGAGGGGACGGAGAGGACCTTTTCCCTATTATTATAGCTTAGTCCTAAGCGTTCATGAGAAAGGCTCAACGCGTGAGGCTTTTTTAACCGGCAGTGGCACTCTTCTGGATTAGAGATGGCATTGGCGATCTCCCCTAAATGTTGACTGGTTGTGGTGAGGAAGTGGTACAGAATCCCCCTCTCACGAAGAAAGGGACAAGGGGAAGTTCATTCATTTTGGAGTCAGCACAATGGAAGGTGCCTCTGGCGTAGGATGGGTACATATGTGTGGCTTATCGCAGCGCTGTCTCTACACAAACACTTTTGTCATACCTTGCAAACCCTCGAGGGGCAAGTTTTAACTCCCGCCTCTAATGACACGTACTCTCGCTAGACCGTAATTGTGATAAAAGCAAAAAAGGAAAGCCTAAAGTTTTTGAGCCCATCACTCTGACTGAATTCTTACGACATCATCAAATCTACCAACCTCATTACTGCTTCGCATTCTGCTTGCAGTTACTGTTGGTTTCTTTGAAAGGTGTGCACCAATGGCGAAAATTTTCCTATCGTGGATGTACTCGCTGGAAATGTTCGTGAAATCATAAGTAATGCTCATCGCTATCCCCTGCGTTTTCTAAGATAAAAAGTTAAATACCCGCCACCCTCATGCAAACGTACTGCTCTATTCGCACAAATCTGTACCCCTCTCCCGGCGTGAATTCACAGTTCAAGAAAAAATCTTATAGATAAGCAGAAAACCGTTAGTTTGCACGAGTGGAGTGCACGGGCTGGTTTGGGTGTGGACCCTAATTAGAGAGGAAAAATTTAGAATAGCGCGTTGAACCCACCGTAATACCACGCTCTTTTTAACGGTGGGGAATTTTGCCACACGAGTTTCTTGTTCTTCAGAAGAACCGATGTACACTTCCACATCTGCAACGATTCCAATAACTTAGCATGACTTCACACATAGCTCACACTCGGAGGCACATTCTATAGTTCGAATGCGGCTAATGCGCTTTTGAATGGAGAGGTGGAAGAGGACCGCAACAGGTGGCGTGACGAGAGGGAACTGCAGAAAGAAACCACCGAGAACACTGAGAAAGAACTTTTTTGTGGGAAGGGAAAATCTGCTTGCGCATCTCGATGAAACAGCGTCGGGACGAGCGAGGCGCAGATACCGACGCATAGCAGCGACCCAGGCCTGGACCCCGCTATACAGTTGCAGCCTAAAGTCATGAGGCACTAGGGCCTTTTCCACGAAAGGCCTCAGTCCTTTCATTGCAAAAATGGCTACCTCTCCGATTGCGCCTTAGTCACCTTACATTAAAAACAATCGTTTTAGTAAACCAATTACAGAATGTGCCTTCGCTCTATTGGAAAAAAGGTCAAAAAATATGAAGGACGTACTATACTTTTCCTGAACTTCTTCGCGAAAGAACTCGCTCACTGTTCGACGTTTTTTGTCAATGCGGCAGAAAACCTAAGAGTGCTATCCAGCCAATTTCGAGCAGTTCCAGTCTAGGTGTATTACCTGGTCGATGAGCCATCCAAAGGTAACTGCGTGATATTCGGTTTTAGAACCAGGTGGATACTTGGGAAATTCGGCTTCTATTATTTTAGCGATGCCGTCCTTGGTTAACTCATTCAGGTTGAATTCGGCATCAAAATATGGCAGTCCTGCCTTAAATGCTATTATGAAACTTTTAGGAAAAAGAAACGGGGAAGTATGTTTGTAGGATAACCTTCCAACCTTGAATGATGGAGCTTCACGTGGTGGTGAATGCTGTTGGAACTATACTAGAGGGAGAGTTCAACAGGCCCACCACGTGACATGTGAGAAAAAGCCTTTTCAGTCAAATTTCCATCCCCTACGTTGAGTGTAAGCATTTCTGTAGGCATGGCGGTGCTAAGTTGTTTGGAGGGGAGAGGGGGGAGGGGTAATCGTGAAGGACCAACGCCACCGCGGCTCGTTTATCCGCGGTCTCTGCGAGATAGGATAGTGTGAAATAGGAGTTGTCAGTTTTCACGCATGTTAGGTGAATCGCTCTGGCTACCCGACAGGATGCCCGTTGCGCGAGCGAGAAGGCAGAGACGCGCAAAGGTTAGCGGATCGAGTCGCAGGGCGTAGTACTGTGATAATTTTGCATCAAGTTAAATACGTAATAACTTCGTATAGCATCCGCACATTGCACAATACGCATTGTGACTCGTCTGCTGACCCGTCTGTGCTTCTGTCATCTTGCCGAGCGACGAGCCTCCTGTCGGGCACCCACTCGCCCCACCTCCTCCCCCACTCTCAGAATTGACTACATTCCCACCCTGGCTCGCGGATTCCACTTAAAGGCAAGATTCAAGCTTAAACCGATGAGGTAATTCTACACAAACGTGATGTAGGGGCGGGAGGGTGACGGCCAAAGGAGAAAAGTGGAGAGAAAATCCTGAAATACACAGGAAATATGAGCCTTTTGCTCTCGATTGTCTGTGGAGAAACTTTCGAAAGGGGAGCAGGGAGATGAGAGATAATGTGAGCGCGGAGAGCGGTAGAGAAATCCGAGAAGAGAGAGCATAGCAGATCAAGTTAGCGACGCAGACAAGATATCGAGCGGTGGGCGGAGCGTGTCGCAACAGGTGGAGCGTGTCAAAGTCCTTGGCCCCTAGCGCCTTAGTGACGCATTTGGATGCGGGAACTTGGCGAGTCGCCTGCAGCTGCGTCCCATGCACTTCTAGCCACTTTAAGGGCTTATTAGGTGGGTCTGAGCCCGAACTTTGCCTTTAAGGACCGAAGATGTTGCACCGTGGCAGCGACTGGTCCCAAAATCACTTATTCCCTACATCCCTGTCCTACGTTTAGGTTGGTCTAGTTGTTGTGATGTCTGTCGAGTGTTTGAACGCCTTTAGAAGAACAACCTTGTTTGAAGTGTTTTTGCATGGACATCTATTCGATTCCTGACCGGTGGGCGCAGAGTTCAAAATGTGCTACAGAGGCACGATGAGCACTCACTCGATGAGTAAGAATCATCTCGATGGTTATGTCTTGTTTGTTATTATGTCCGAATTCTGGCCAGAATTTCACCACTTTGTCTGAGTAACTGCATTCACCCTGATCAACCTTCATTGCCATGCAGATCGCTGCGATGCCCTGTAATCACAAATATTCTCCGAAGGTCCACAAATCTGCAGTATTCCACGAAGCTGCCTCACCTTTGTACAGCAGACAATACCAGCCAAAGTATCGCGATCCCACAGATTTTGAGTTGTACGATCAGCGAGTCCACCCCACAAGTCCACCACCAACGCTCCCTTGTAGTAAACAGCTATTGCGGCCCCAACACGTTCCGAGTTTCCCGTGAAGTTTCTCTTGAAGTTACAATAAAAGTAATGGCTTTATAAAACTTTTGTATTTGTAAAATTAAACTGTTTTTGTTTTTATTTTTCGATCTCAATATTTTTATATGTTTTATTCAAAATTTATTTAGGGGGTGGGATTCAAAGAGTAGTTTAGTCTCCGTTTCGCACGTGCCCTTAGACGGAGACTAAACGAAAGAGTATCCTCTCCCTGTGCTCATCAGTAAGGGAGGAGAGGTATAAAGAATTTGATTTACATTATTGTAGTATTTATTAAATAAAATTTTCAAAAGTTGTTAGCGTGAATGAATTATTAGTATTTGAGTTAATTAAGGTTTAATACAAATTAAAGTTTTTTATAGCTAATTAGATTTATCTAACATATAATTACAGTTTTTCATGAAAAAGTGAAAGAGTTTGTTTACTATTCAATGAATTTGTATAGAAAATTGAACTCACCTCTTGTCCTGCCTCCTCGAATAGTAGATAGATATAAAATGAGAGGCTAGTCTTGATATAACGTGTGAAAGTTTTATCATTGTTTATCATTCTCTGCCGATGCATATTCATTTCCTTTTCAAGGGTCATCAAGTTTTCGAAGAAACTCTAGTAAATCGTCCATTTTTTAGTTCATTTTATCCTTCTATTATATAAAGCGCTAACTTTGTGTGTCGGTTTGTGTATCTGTATGTGTGTGTGTGTGTGTGTGTGTGTGTGTGTATGTGTGTCCGTCCGCAAAATGAAGTGAGTGAGAAGGAAGCTCATGGGATAAACAAACCGCTAACAAATCGGGTAGCTTACAGGATTTGAGATATCAATGTTTTGTAGATAGTTGTGATAACACTCTCAGGGCTATATAAACACCTGCTTAGCACACTTCCGTTCATTCCACATGGTGCTGCAGTGGCAGCTGGAGGGCAGTGGAGAGAGGAAGGGAGGATGAGGAAGGGAAGCGAAAAATCTACCGTCATATCATGATTGTGTCCCTTCTACTGTATGAAACACCATTGTGTTGCATACGCGTCACTTCCAGAGGTGTTGGTGTCACAGGAGGAAGGGACCATAGCGGAGGATAGAAAGCTTGCGCAGGAAAGGAAGGTCCCGGCGGTTGACGGGGGACTAATCTGGTATTTTATAAAAGTGTTTTTAGCAGAGCACTTTATCAGATTGATAATAAAGATATCTGTACTATATCCAGATTCGTTTAATTGGTTTCTAGTATATTTTAACCTACTTATGAAATCCTTTTTATTGGAGCATGTTCGAGCTATTCTTAAAATTTCGGAATAAATCGTATTGTGTTTAATGTGACACGAAATATTTGTTGTTGAGTTTGGAAAGCGTTTTATGTTGAAGTTGAAATAGTCCGTCTTATTATACATTTTTGTCTGTATTTTATTTAGATCTATATTGATTTCTAGATCTAAATAATTACATCTATATTCGTCAGTGTGTGTAACTTCCAATTTCAAAATATTTTCGTATATTTGGTTCAGTTTATCTAGAACAGTTTGTGTATCTAGATTGTGTACTACAAGGATATCATCCATATATCTGAAAGGTCTAAATTGTAGGTTTTTTGTACTGTTATGAGTAAGTGAATAGATATATTCAAAGTATGATAATGTGAGATCAGCTAATAGAGGGCTAACATTGCTACCTTGTGGTACTCCCGTTTTCTGTACAAAGAGGTGTTCTGCAAATTTACAATAGCTGTTTTTCAAAAGATAATCCAAAAGGTAGACTATATCTGAAATTGTGTAATAATTGAAGTTCTTATAAGATGTGTTATTAGTGTAAAAAGTTTTCCGTTCATTGTGTGCAATGTACTTTTTGTTGCTATTTTTGTAACATATTTTTAATATTTCTCTAACATTTTTTATAATATGAGAATGTGGTAGGTTGGTGAACATATTCGTAAAGTCCGCCGAAAAAAGTTTCATGTTATCCATGCGTATGTTTTGGAGTTGTTCGCTAATGTTTATGTTATTGATTGCCCAATAGCCTATGAATTGAGTGTTTCTGTTCTTAATAGTATTGTTGTAGTTAAGAAAGTGCGTTCGTATGAAAGTTAAAAGTTTCGTGAGTTCGATAGATAATGGTTTTAGGCTACTATTTTTGGCACCTGTTATAAATCGGAATTTGATAGGTGATTTATGTAATTTAGGTATGGCGTAAATTATTGGTACATTCATATTAGACAAGTTTTTAATGTTGTTATTGTTATTGAAACTCTTGTGTTTTTCAATTATGTCGTTTTGGGTTGTTGAGTTTATATAAGTGTATGTATTATTAGTGTTGTTGATATTCAGTTGTAGGTTGTTGCACTCGATACCCATTTCACTTATAATGCTATTAATGTATAGTTTTTTGCATATAATTCCATAATTACCGCTTGCTTTGTCTAGAGGGCAAATTATAAAAGATTCGTGAAGCTTTTTAATCTCTTTTGTGATGTGTTTGTCACACATGTTGGTGTTGTTAAGCCATTGTGAATAGAGCTTAGGTTTATTAAGGTTTTTCGTATTCTTTTATAGGACTTACATAAATACGTCTTTCACAGCTGGCAATCGGGAGAAACTTCGTCCTTTCAGTTAGTGACGCTTTTCGCCGCTCTGTCAAAGGAGTTTACGTTTATTACACGAGAAATGCTGATGCGAATTGGAGCGAAAAAAGCAGTTTTATCGCGTACTCGAAATCCGATCTTAAATACAACAGAATCGAGCAGTAAAACGAGCGAGCTTCTAAAAGAAATCTTGTCTGCTATAATATTCTTAAGGCGCCTAGGAAAGGTTTTAGCTCTACTTAGTTTGAAGGAGGTGGTCACAATAATTCCTATGGGGACAATAACGAATGCCAAGTTCTGAAGTGGATAGGGCCCTGCCCAGTGCTATAACAGGTCAAGTTCCAGTAGTAGTGGGGCCTGTATCACGGCTCCGTGAAAGGCGCCGAAACCAACTTCTGTGTGTAGCAGAAACACTACCGTATCGATATCGCGATTGCCAATGGCAGCATGGCTTGAAATGACTACCGCTGTTGTGCTTGAGTCTTACGGATTTGGCATTCCGGAGTGCACCTCTTATCAAGGAACCACCTTTTATATCTCGTCGTAGGTTCTACTTCTATGGGTTTTGAGCTCGTCAATAATTCAATCGGCGCAATCGCATATACGGGCATTGTGAGGTGGCAATGCCATTTGAAACACGGAAATATACTTAAAAAAGATTTAGACTAAGGGGGGAGGGAGAGATTTCCTGGTGTGAGGCCATTTCCATTTTTCCGGAGACTCCTGCCCACCCTCGTTTTAGGCTTAGTTCTCTGAGGACGCTCCGTATATGTACGATAGCGTCCCAATAATCTCTCCCAGACCTTATCGGTTGATAACGCGAGGGTAGCAGATACACGTGGGAGCCAGCGTTGATCGCTTCCTTCATAGTAGCCTGTCCCAGCTCTGATGGTTGAGTAAGAATTGTTGGGTAATGGGTCACAGTTTAGACTGCGATTTACAATGAAGAACTTGATAAATACAAGATTTAGTCGCTTGCCCCTCTAGCGAATAGGTGAAACTCCAAGGTTCACTCCTGTCGAGGCTGGACGGTATACCATCATGATACCGTTACCTTATTTTTCGATTCTCATTTCGAAGTGGATTTCATGCTGAGCGGCCTACTATTAGCATGCGAACCGCAATTTTGAAGAAAACCAAAAAAAAAGGAAACCTGTTTCATTTTTGATGAGCGGTTTTAGCAGTACCAGAAAAAGTGTGAGTTACTGTTCCTGGTCCGATCCCTCGTGGCGACTAAACTTTGCATTTGTGTTGGGCGCTACGGGTTCATTCGAAACGTGCCAAATGTCAAAATAGCTGCTCATGTCCTTGGGGCGAGGAGGGGGCGGGGGGAGGCCATCACAACCAGAACCAGTAGTAGGAAGGGAGAAACGCCAGGGAGAACACATACATTGCTCACATCCTACCCCAGAATCCCTTCCCCTGCCTAAGGCTTAGTCCCAAGCACAGCAATTGGCTCACTAACTTGAATGTCCCCCCCCCCCCCCCCCCAATGACATGAGCGCCATTAAAATCAGATGTCATATTCATCGTCAGGACCATTTTGAAGCCAACAAGTGGCCGCCAACCTTGATTGCAAAATTTAGTCGCCGCGGGGATCGAACCATCAAGAGTATCATTCACCACTTTTTTGGTACTACTAAAACCGTTCAGCGAAAACGAAACATGGTTTTGTGGTCCATACATGCGTCCCTACAACATGCAGGGAACCGTTCCGAAAAGCGCGGCTACCCGAAAGACCTCCTTGTTAGTCGTAAGCTCGTCAAAACTTGGTAAACGACATAGAATGGGCCCTATCATCCTATCATCCACTAAAACATTGCTCAGCATCTCCTCATTCATTTTCATCGGCTGCAATCTATCGCGATAGCTACTTTTGTATGACCTTGTCCTGATTTTATCTGTAAAACTATGCTAATCTTGTCGTAGTAAATTAAAGATATTACTCGGAAGCTGCCCCAAATACTGTCCCGTATCTGGAAGCACAACAAACCTTTTTTCTGGAGGATCGTCTAGGAATCTGAAATAGTACTGATGACAGTAATGAGAGGCACGAGCTTGTAACAACACTTCTCAAATTTTACTATAATGATGAACTCTTCTACAAAATCATTTCAAAAGAAAAAAATTTGATACTAGTTCCTTCAAGTTTACCTAAATTATTAACTTCAGGAAGGCTTACTCACCGGTAATGGTTCGTTGCCTGAGTCCTGGAATGCATAAATCTGACACCACGAGCTATAGCTGGCACTATCGCAACATATGGGGACATGGTAATGACGGTGCATCTAAGACCGCATAAAACATATCATTTTTGTTGAAATCGGTACTAATGGTAAGCCCTAGGCGCGGAAGGAGAAACTCCGGGGACATGAGTAATTTTCATTTTTCCCCAAGTTCCTGTCCCCTGCTAGGCCTTGTCCTAAAGAATGGCCCGTATCTTGCGATAGCGCCTACGCTTGTTCCAGCGTTCATGGCGCTCGGTCCTGGTGTTGGGGGGACATTCTGAAAGAGCATTCAGAAATCGCTGGTTTGTTGAACACTAGGACTAAGCCCAGGATGGAAAAAACACCAAAACAAGACAACGACAACAAAGGAAAAACAAATGGGTTGCTACTCCCCCCCAGAATCCTATTCCACTTCCTAATTGCCTCAGCCCCAAGTCTGAAAAGTGTCTTCACTTCCCCTCCATCGACATGGGCGCCGCGATCACTGTTGAAACTATACCATATCTAATACCAAAACTAAAACAAACATACACTCATTTGTTTGGTATCGGGACTATGTGCTGCGAAAAAGACATTCTCTCTTGGCATTTGTGTGTAAAAATGAAACCACTACATTGGCTTCGAAAACCTTATCTGTCGATTGTTACCATTTTAATGCACTCCTGTTTATGACATTGGCCGTTGGTATATTCCTGCACGTTCTTCCGGTTGAAATAACAGCGTATACGAAGTTATACGATCTTTT